CTCAGCTGATGTAGTATTATTCCATCCTGACACTATTAGTACCACATGCAGTGGTACAGTGCAGCACGGCATCACTCCTGTATAGCAACACTGTTATCAGAACCCCATTTGACCATAAAACGGTGTACTGTGCTAAACCCAGCAACTCTACTTCCTACAGAGGAAGAAGGTGAACCACATGATTGTGTGGTTGAAACGGAAACCTTACATTTACCAAGAAAAGATTTAACTGATGTTCCAATTCCAAACTCACATGTATTGTTTGTAGATGGCTAAAGGAAAAATCCAGATGGCACAAACGCAACATGCTACGCAGTAGTAACCTCAAACAGTGTTAAAAGCAACACAACTTCCCAACCATTACTCAGTGATTAGTAGCACTAACAAAAGCCTGTAAATTGATGAAAGGGAAAATTGCTACAATCTGGACTGATAGCCAGTATGCTTTTTCAACATTGCATGTGTTTGCACAACAGTGGAAAAATCGTGGCATGGTTACATCAACAGGAAAACCTGTCACACATGCTAAACTATTGATTCCAGGAACTCCTGGATGCAATTCAATTACCAAAACAAGTAGCCGTATGTAAATGCACAGCACATACAAATGGAACGGATGACATTTCAAATAGAAATCAATTTGCAGATGAAATAGCAAAGAAAGCTGCATCTGAACCAAGTACAAAAAAATTACAACTTGAAAACAAAACCATAGCTCAAGAAGTGTTAAAAGATATGCACTATAATCCACCAACAAGTCAATGAAATATATGTATCACCTGAAGGTAAACCAATTTTACCAAAATCATTGTTCAAATGGGCTGCAATATTGAGCCATGGGCCTTGCCATGTCTCAACAGGAGGGATGGTGAATGCCATAAACAAACACCTAAAGAGATCATGACCATGGCTACGGGGTATACAACTGAAAATATGTGGTTAAAATGGTTAATGAACACTGCAAAAAAGAATGGTGCTGATGATTGTGTTGCATGTGCTCCTGCAAGACCACAGCTGTTTACAGAGCCAGCCCCATTATTCCCAAATGATACCTGGGGATATACCTGTATGTTAAGATTGACACATGAAGCTACCCCTCCAAATTGTACTACACTAGCACCAATCTTCCCACCAATTTCTAATAAAACCAAAACATTGATCATATAAGATTGATTGAGACAGCACTAGACAAGAGAACGGCAGATGCGTATTTACAACAGCAGGCAAAAGAGTATGTTGCATCACTGACCAAAAGCATGAGTGTCTGTAAAGATGTTTAGAGACATGAAAGTTATGTGAATGACAAAGAAGAATACCATAACTGAGAATCTTAAATTGATGAAGGTGCTATAAAAATGAATGTGTTATGAAAAACCTTGTATCAGGAGCCATAATGATAAGAGAATTTGGCATTCATCAATGATAAACAGGAGGGAAATGTTGGAAGAATTTTATTTATTATCATTGCTTCATGCTGTACTGTCGCTTTAAGAAACTGCTTGCTTCCCATATTTACTCCAGTGTGTTACTGTTGTTTAAGAAACTGCTTGCTTCCCATCTTTACCTTGTCACACCCTCATTCACACCCATTTTCACATCCAGCTTCTTACTCCATATACTCACACAATCAAATAATATGTAATCTGATACTTTTATAAACTAAATAAAAGAGCAAAGGAAGGGTGCAGCAACGCAGTTGATGTGGAAGCTGCCAGAAGAGCAAGCTGCACTCTCCTCTTGCAAGTAAAAGATCAAGACGTCTTTTGTGTTTTTTACTTTGTCGTCATTTATGTTAGAATAATTCTGACATACAGCCAGAAGTTAAAGCAATTATAATTATATTGTTTGAAGAACTGCCAAGAAATGACAAAACAGTGAAAGAAAAAGAACACATTTCGCCAAGACCTAAAAAGAAACACTAGATTAAGAAAAAAATAAATAAAAAAAAGCCACGAGGGTCAAAAACCAGTCTAAAATAAGAAGAGAATAGGAAGCACCAGATATGTAGCCACAAAAATAGCATAATTTAAAAGCAAGTATTATATTTTAAAGATAGTTTAATAAAATGTAAAATGTAAAACTAACCAGCTAAATCAAAGTGTAACAAGAATAAGCACTGAATTAATAAATTACATCCCAAGATTTAGATTTATTAGATTTAGATAAGATAAGATTTAGATAAATAAATAGCATTTTAAAGTACTACAGAAAATCATACGAAAGGGTTCATCAAATGTGAACAGAGAAAAAACCCCACTACAATACAGTTTTGTTTTACAATTGAGTTAACAGTGTGTGCAAAAATAGAAACACACACAAAAAAAATCAAAATGTTTTGGTTTTTTTGGTAGAAGAATGATTGTAGACCAGAGGTGCCCAATAAGTAGATTTGGATCTTCCACTAGATCTCAAAGGGAGTGTTGGTAGATCCTGAGCAATTACATTTATAGAAAGAAAAAATAATAATTAAAAATAATAGATATAATTCAATTTTAAGATGCTAATCACTAAGGCTAAAGTAAGGACCATAGAAGTATTGAGTCAGATGGTATTGTGCCATACAACTACAGCCATTTAATGTGTCATGTCTGTCTGTTTCCGTGTTTTCCTGTGTTCTTTGTGGGGTAATCATGGGATCACACTCACCTGTTGTTAATTAGCTTCACTTGTGTCACTTGGTGTTCCCTGTGTATATATACCCCTCTCCCTCACTCTGTCGTTGTTGGATCATTGTGTTAGATCAGTGTGATGCTGAGTGTTCTTGGATCATTGTGCAGTTCGTTCTGTCAGGCTGTTCGTGAGTTTCCTACTCTGTGTTTCCTCGTGTTCCAAAGAGAATTCCATGCCTGTTAGTTCTTCGTGTTTCGTTAATTTGGACTTTGTAAATAAAACTACCTGCACCAGAAAGAGTCTCACCAGTACTGCATTTGGGTCCTGCCTGCTCCCTGCGATGCCCGCACGTGACATAATGATTATAATAAACTAAGTTTTTAAGAAGAGAACAGGTCATATTTCATTTTATCAGAAACATACCTTATTCTCCAGGTGTAGCAGTGATGTGAAGTCTGATAAAATAAAACCGTTTTTTACTGATGTGAATCTAAAAACACTTTGACACATAGTAGAAAAAACAGAGTGAAAACAATCAGAGTTCTGAACTAGAACCCATTCATTTATAATCAGTGGTTCATCTGACTGTGAAGATAAATCAGATTCACTTTAACATTTACAACAGTAACAGTCAGTGAACTCACCCCAGATCCTCCAGTTTACAGTCTGGACTCTGGAGAAAACCACACAGATTCTTCACAGCTGAATCCTTCAGGTTGTTTCCACGCAGGACCAGTTTCCTCAGATGGGAGGGGTTGGACTTCAGATCTGAGACCAGAGAAGAACAGCTGATCTCTGACAAACTGCAGCTGCTCAACCTGAATAAAGAAGAAAAGACAAAGAGAAAAGTTGATTTTCTTTTTAAATTTGATTTTTTTTAGTTGTTTAATGTTTATTAAGAAAAAATTGTATTTTTAGATTCTAGATTGGTTCATATTAGATTAAATCAATTCAATTTAAAACAGCATTTAAAACAGCTTTAGATCTTTTTTCCTTCAGTCAGTGAGATTACACAAAAGAATTTTATTCAAAGATTAAAAAAAAAACTCTTATGTTTGTTTGAATGAATGAGATGATTTAAACCACACATGTCAAACTCAGGCCCATGGGCCAAATCCGGCCCGTGGTGTAATTATATTTGGCCTGTGAGATCATATCAAATGTATACTAGAGTTAGCCCACCAGTATATAGGCCCTATATACTGGCAGAATTTGTAGTATTAGCGGTGTATCCACTATGTTACAGCACATATGTTTTGCGGGTTTTTTTGCTGACGGCCTGTAAAAAAAGATTTACATTAAAAAGCAACTGGAAAGGCTACAGATAAAGAGACATAATAAGAAACAAATACCACTGATATGGATTTTATTTCTAATTTAATTTCTCATGTGTTTTCAGCTTTGGTTGTTCCAGATTCAATGTTTAAACAAAACTAAAGCTTGTTTCCATATGGAAAAATTCTACATTACAGATATGGAGAGAAGCGAAAACCTGAATAATTGCCGTCAATTTTCCAATAAATATTAAGTTTGTCCCACGACTTTCTCCCAGTTTTTAATTTTGGAAGGCAGCAGGCCCGGACAAGGTGTCCACGGCTACCAAAGACCTGCACTGCTGAAGTCGGCGAGCCGCTCCAACGGATTTAAAACCTGAGTCTTTGACTGTGGGAGAGTGCCATCCATCTGGAAGACGTCATGCAACGTTCCATTTCTCAAAAAGAACTGGCCCAGCGAGCTGAACAACTACCAACCCGTGGCACTCACATCACACCTGATGAAGACCCTGGAGCAGCTCTTCCTCAACCTCCTCTGGCCTGAGGTGCAACATGGCCAGGACAATCTACAGTTTGACTACAGACTGCCATCCTCTACCTCCTACACTGAGCCCACTCACATCTGGACAGGAGGAGCGGCGCTGTGGGAATCTTCTTCTTGGATTTGTCAAGGGCCTTCAACACCATCCAGCAACTTACATTCCAGGATAAACTGATGCAAGTGGACCCCTGTATTGTTGGCTGGATTTCCAGCTACCTCACAGACAGACCACAGTATGTCAGGCTGAATGACATCACATCTGATACTGTGGTCAGCAACATCGGAGCACCTATGATTCTGGGTGAATTAATGTGTGGAACAGACCAAAGTCACATCTTGAATGTGTAAAACAGGAAACAGTGTTTTCTATTGGAATGTTATATTAGTGTAAAAGCTTTGCTCACTTTCTGTTCAGCTGACTCTGCATTGTTTATCTTCGTTTATAATATTAAATAGTTTTAGATGTTCATTTATTTTATTCTTATCACCAGTCACAATACTTGGTATTCCTTTGAACAGAAAGGAATATTCTGGGTTTGTAAGGAATAGTATTGTGTCAGCAGAGACATAGTTGATTAGAACCAACTTCGTAGCTCTCTTTAACTCCACAATAATATGAATCCAACATAATCTGGGATATGTTTATAGAAACCATGATGTTACTGTGGAAAAGTAAAAAACATGAAGTGAACTAGTCTGGACTGTAGAGAATGTAGAAACAGAGGTGAATCTGCTATATTCAGTACAATGACTGAGTTAAAGACTCACAGCAGTCTTTTTACAAAGAGCTTCATGTTTCATTGTACTTGTTCTGTTATTCTGAGCATGTTCAAAAACTAAAGGTAATCTTTTAACTGCTGGAAACCAAGAGGAAAATCTCTGACTGTGTTAGATCATTAGTTCTGTCACTGATTCATAAAGATAGACCTGCACCAACATACTGTAGCTACCTGCTGAAATTCACTGCACTTCTCCTTTAGTCATCCAAGACCATTAAACTGAATGAACACTGACTGACTAATCAATAGTGATTGATCACTAACTCACCGAGCCTTCCTGCAGTTCCTCACAGCTGGGATCAGTCTCAGTTTTCCCTCCTTCGATGTGTTATACTTCTCCAGGTCCAACTCATCCAGAACCTCCTCTGACATCTGCAGGATGTAGGCCAGAGCTGAGCACTGGATCTCAGAAAGTTCCTTCTCTCTGGTCTTTGACTTCAGGAACTCTTGGATCTCCTGATGAACTGACTGATCCTTCAACAATGCTTTTTAGGTTTTCAATGAGCTTTAGAATTGTTTTGGACTGTAGTGTCTTCCCAGCTTCAGGAGAACATCTCTGTCTCCCTTTGTTAATTCCAACAGACCAGTCTCATGTCCTCCACTGTACTTGTTCTTCTTCCGCTTTGTCTGAACCAACAGGAAGTGTGAGTATAGGTCTGTCAGGGTTCTGGGCAGCTCTACCCTCTGCTCTGAGGTCAACATGTGCTCCAGAACTGTGGCACTGATCCAACAGAAGGCTGGGATTTGACACATGATGTGGAGACTCTTGGACGTCCTGACATGTGAGATGATTTTGTTGGACAGCTTCATCCCTGGTCCTCTTTCTGAAGTACTGGTCCTTCTGATCATCAGTGAAGCCTCGTACTTCTGTCACCCCGTGGACGCACGTAGGAGGGTTCTGATTGGCTGCTGCAGGTCTGGAGGTGATCCAGATGAGAGCCGAGGCAAGCAGGTTCCCCTGGATGAGGTTTGTCAGCAGAACATTGACTGATGACGTCTGTGTGACATCAGTCACAACCTCCATGTTGTTGAAGTCCAGTGAGAGTCTGCTTTCATCCAGACCATCAAAGATGAACAACAGCTGACAGACAGTGAGCTTCTCTGCTGTGATCTTCTCTAATGTTGGATGGAAAACCTGGAGCAGCTGGAGAAGACTGAACTGCTGACCTCTGATCAGGTTCAGCTCTCTGAATGAAAACAGAACCAGCAGACTCACATCCTGGTTTTCCAAACCCTCGGCCCAGTCCAGGGTAAACTTTATCACTGAGAAGGTTTTTCCATCAGAGTGGTCCGGACCACTCTGATGGCCCCCTGCTGGTCAGGTAAGGCTTTGAAGATCTCACAGCAATTGATGGGAGTGTCGTCCATGATCTTCTTCTTGGCAGCAATCTCCAGCTGCTTCACCTCATGTTGGGTGTATTTACAAGCTGACCAAATTCATAAATTGAACTACTACTTACAGTAAGTACTTTTGCAGTAGCAATGCAAAAATGTTTCATCTTGAAAAACTCCCAGATATACTCCTGATGCCATGTTGCTTGTCAAAATTCAGAGGGCGCGAGAGAGCTGACATTAAATACAAACCATTTGCAATGTAATTTTTACGCAAATGTTTCAAAGTCTATCACGATGTTATTGTGTGGGTTTTGCTTTTGCAGTGTCACTTAACATTGTTTTGCTCTCGAAATAGTGATAATAGCATTACCCTGCACGTAAACAGCAAGCTATTTATAAATTAGCCGCTAATTATAAATAGCTTGCAATTTTAGTCGCTTGTATTACTTGTATTACGCTAATTAGAAGCATAACACAAGCACTTTGTTAAAATAAAGCACACATTTAAATGTAGAAAAAATAAACAGATAGGGCAAAACTATTTTTATTAGCACAGCCTTAACAAGAGGGGCAAAAATTCAGGTTAAAATGCAACACAATGAACACAATCAAACACTGCTTTGTGTGTCTCAGTATATGTGCTTGATTAACATCACAACTTTCAAACCTTAGACTGACATTTTAGAATAGGGTTCTTAAGTTAAGGATTAGGGCCACTGTTGCCACTGTTGTTTCTTTAAAGGATGACATCAGTGTAAGATGCTGATTACAAAGGAAATCCCAGATATTTTTGAAAAAGTAGTTTTTGTTTAATACTCTGTTTAATATAACTCTACAGTGCAAACTGCTTGTAGAAACAGACAAGGGGCGGTAAACATATGGCCCGTGGGCCAAAACCAGCCCACTTGGGGTTTAAATCCGGCCTGCTTGATGTATTTTGGAAAAACAAAATACACGAACACTTCCTGTTCAAAACATCTGTAAAACTATATTTCATTCATACATACCATTTATATATAAAATAGCTCATCAAACTTTTTTAAATTCCGATTCATTCTTTCCTACAGCATCTCTTCTACGGGGCTGTGGTTGCCGGAGCTGTGGTTGCTGGGGCTGTGGTTGCCGAGGCGCGTTTACGGCATGCCGCACAAACTTAAGCTCATTATTTGGTTTTAGGTATCGGATCGGATGGGCTATACTTGTTTTTATGCGATGTTTGATCCTGAAATTCAGCAATATCGAACCAATACCAATCCTCAGGATCGAGCCATCTCTTATACTGACCAACTCACAGCAAAGAAAAATAAACAGCTTTAAAAGATCATCTGGT